AATGGGCTATAAATTTAGAAATAAAAAGTTTGGGGGAATATGAAGAATAAGTAATAAATGTTTGCCAGTAATATCTGGTAGAAGAGATAGGAAAATGGTTATAGTAAAGAACTGTGAAAAGAAAGAAGGGGAAAAATGCATCTTAAGCCTATATCAAATGATCAACTGTATTGTGCCAAAAGCACTATGCCTATTATATAATTTAATTTTGTACTTATGTACTTTAATTGGTTAAAGTACATATTCCCTCAGTTTAATTTTTGACAGCCAAATCCATTTACCTATTTTATATTCCTCACAATAATAATTTCAAGTATGTCATCTTTATTCTATATTGCTGCCCTCTGAAGCAATACAAATCACTTTTCTGAGGATCAGAAGACTACTAAAAGACTAAATACATCTGCAGTTTTAGAGTCTCAGAGATGAGAAAGTTGCTTGCACATTTATTATAAATGTTTCCATTGTAAATACAATTACTACACATATTAATACTCTCAAATACATTTACATTGGTTAGAAGAATATTAATTTCAAATCATACCACTGGAAGTAATAATATTAGGAAGAATTCTCCCAAAATTTTATTACATGGGTAGCCTGTAATCTCAAGATCATGGAGTCAGCCGGATAGCTTTCTCTGAGACTGGAGAATCCGCTTCAATTTCAGATGCATCAATTCTCCCCCTATCTTCCTGTCACACTTTTTTCTTCTGAGATGGCTGAATTTGGTCTAGCAGGGGTGAACAAGACTGTACTGGTAATACTTGTATAGCTGAAATAACAAAAAAGCAACCTTTTTTCCCATCTGCCAAGACCTTCTTCTGCTCTTGAAGAAGGAGCTTTACTGGCAGTAGATGGCAAGGATGAAATAAGCAATGAGTGGCTGCAAATCAATCTATTCTTTTTGTCTAGCAAGTTACAGTATTTACTTTCTTATTTGTAGGATATTGTTATAAAGAAAATAATACTTTTACTAAGATTAAGAATTCTTCACAGAAACCTTCTTGTGTCCTATGTCTAACAGGGTTAGTCCAGGCCTAATTTGCCTATCTTAAATTAAAAACAAAATAATTCTCCTCAACTGCCAAACAATTAAATAACCTTCAACTAAAGTGGGCAATAAACAGTCAAAAGGTTGTAGCAAAAGTACAACTAAAGATTGAGTTCCTCTTTCTTAAAAGTGAAAATGATACATTGCAAAGCCACACAATTTTACTATTTATAAAAATTCAATACGATTGGAAATCAGATAAAAACCTAATTTGACAGAAAAACTGAAAAGACATATTTCAATGAGTTTTGAATAAAATCAGAATGATTTAATGTTCTGTAATATGAGAAAGTAGATTCAAGAAATAAGAGAAGTGGTTTTAAGGCATTAGAATATTGTATTTTAGTTAGAGCCCACAGCACCTGTTTTTAGCAGCTGGAATAAAATTATTTAAAAAGTGACATGGTAATGAAAACAAATTAATTTCTCAGGGGATAAGTGGTTTTGAACTTAAACTTATGCATTTTTATAATATGATAAATTTAAATTAAACTTAAACTCTGCACATTAAAGTTTAATTAAACAACTGTTCTTTACGGTCTGCTCCCAGTATGAAAAAACAACTTTTGACTGTAATACTGATGAAATCTAAAAGAAAGAATAAACTAACTTAATCAGTCATTACTTTAAGAATGGCTTCCTTAAGCCATTACTTAAGGAAGAATACCTATACAGTGTAAGGGGCATTATGTATGTACATGAAAATTGGATAGAAAGTCTTTATGCCCACCTAAAGCTACAGTGAAATCTATCAATTTTTAGCAGTGCCATTCAAGATATTTTAATACTAGAAACAACTACTGCCTTTATTTATTCTATAGTGCTTCCTGAAGTGGATCATTCCCACTGTCTTCAATATTTATTATACAGACTTTATACAGGTAGTCTTTGGTTTATGATTATTCTTTCAGTGACCACTCAGTTACAATGATTCTAAATGAAGGAGATTTAAGATTAGTCCTACGAGTTGTGGCTGTTGCAGGGTTCCTGTGATTATATGATTGCATTCTGAGCACTTGGTGCCCAGCTCACAATAGCAGTGGCAGACTTATATACTGCTTCAGTGCTTTACAGCTCTCTTAAGATGTTTAAAGAGTCAGCATATTGCCCCCAATAATCTGGGTCCTCCTTTTACCAACTTTGGAAGGATGGAAGGCTGAGTCAACCTTAAGCCACTCAGAATCAAACTGGAGTAAACAATGAGTTAGCCCTGCAGTACTGCATTCTAACTACCAAGCCACCACGGCTCTAGCTGCAAGCTGCAGTCATGTAATTGTGATTTCTGCTAGGTTCCCATAAGCAAAGTCAATGGGGAATTGGCAGAAGTTGAAAAACATGATTATATGAGGTCCTTGCTTAATGACCTGAGAACTACCTGTAAATGGTGAAAGCTACAAAAGTAATTTTTTGCTCTTTATTTTATTAGAGAAAGGAAAGGATAAGGGAAAGCCTGTTAAGGTTAAGGTTGCATACTATTCTTTGACATTTTCAATGTTATCTTAATGTTCAAGCCAGATAGGTAAGCAGAGATAACGGTGGGGAATAGCAAATATAGATGGTCAATATGACTGTCTATCTGGTAGCAAAAGATTATGAGCCTTGGTGGCGCAGCAGACTAAAGTGCTATTAAGTAACACCAGCTGCCTGCAATTACTGCAAGTTCAAATCTCACCAGGTTCAAGGTTGACTCAGCCTTCCATCCTTTCGAGGTGAAGGATGGTAAAATGAGGACCCGGATTGTGGGGGCAATAAGCTGACTTTGTATAAAAAAGAACACCGTTAGGGGGGGGCCGAAAGCCCTACTAAGCAGGTATATACAAAAGTATGAAGGCTATTGCTTAACACATTGTAAGCCGCCGAGTCTCTGGAGAGGGCGGCATATAAATCGAACCAATAAATAAATAAATAAATATATGTTGTTGGCATTATGACTGAAGCTAGTTATGCTGCTTTCATCTACATAAGATCCTGGAAGCCCAGATCTATAATTGTAAAAACATTTATTCACTGAAGTAGAAAGTACTGACTTAAAGCTTAAACATCAGATAATATGATCAAGAATCCTATTTATTTTTAATTAGTATAAAATTCCAGATCTGGATGAATCACATGGCAAGATCCCAGAATAAGAAAAACCTTCCAGATTTTTTTGTCCATTTTTATCAGGATTTGAATTTTAAGGCCACATTAATTTTCCAAACTAACTCTTACTGTTTTCATAACAATTTCCCTATTTCAGGGCATAATCTCCTCCTTGGCCATCTCATTTTCCTAACTGAAGTAGTACATGGTTGGGGAATTTCTACACTAATCACATAATATTCCTTTAGTATTAAAATAACTTCTGGAATGAATTGCTTTTTATCCATTTGGTTGAAGGGCAGTGCATAAAGCTATAGTTGTGTGAACTCTATATAAGGTGGGAAAAAACATGTGTAACCGACCTCTGCCATGAAGCATATATTCAGGAACATTTATGTGCACATAGGACATGTGTCCTATGTGTACAAGAGTCATGGTGGCGCAGTGGTTAGAATGCAGTACTGCAGGGCTAACTCAATGCTCACTCCAGTAGTTCGATTCTGAGTTGACCCCGCCTTCCATCCTTCTGAGGTCGATAAAATGAGGTCTCAGATTGTTGTGGGCAATATGCTGACTCTGTAAACCGCTTAAGAGGGTTGTAAAGCATTGTGAAGCGGTATATAAGTCTAAGTGCTATTGCTACTAGATGGACCTAAGTCCATTGATCTTATCTACCAGCAATTTGTGTTTACTGCTGTGGATTCTCTTACATAAATTCGCTATTTATGACAATATAGAAGCTTAAACTACATGCTGTGGAATAAAATACTTATCTTTGTGTGATGCTGAATTCTATATGAGGGAGAAAAAAAACTCTGTATTGTGTAGACATAATTCTCAAAGTTCATGCAATGCCATCTTCTTTAGGTCTAGTCACAATTTAAGTGGAATTCAAATCAATCCACAATTTAAGTGGATTCAAAAATATCTTGTCTCCAGTGTTATCGGATTACCAATTCGGTAGACAATACGACACATTATTCTAAATATTGGTTTACAAGCCCATGCGAGCGCGGCCGGGGGAGTGAGGCAATACAGGACTTAAATACATCAAGATTAGTACTACGAATACCATTTCCCTTAAGGACTATATAAGCATTTCCCTACTACCGTAATCAATGGCTATTTAGTTCTTCAAGTCAGCCCCCCCCCCCGCAAAAGTCTTTTCAGTCTCTTTTCCGTAAAGGTTACTTCCGGCCCCTTTACAGATGTTCTGCAGAAGTCCCAAAGTCGCCCACCGCTTCACCTTTCCAACTGATTCATGAATCAGGCGAGAGTAGGAGGAGAGCGCAGAGCCGGAAGTCCTTCCCGGCGCTCCCATTGGTCCTTTGCTTTATCCATCAGGCCCTGGAGGACCAACACGCTTCCAATACTGCCCCGCATTTTTCTTTTAAGTAGGGAGGGTTAAGAAAAGAAGCTCTGTCGCCTCTCTTGCCCTTTCCCTCCGCGAAGTCTCGTTTCTTTGTGGTCTGTGAATGTGAGTCCTTTCTCAACACCTCTGTTTCAATTCAGTTCTTCCTCAACCCCCAACCCCCACCCCTGCTCTCCCGTCGCGCGCTCACGTTTGATTGGGCAACATCTGGGAACGGAACCCTAATACCGTTAGAACGGGGTGGGGGAGTGGAGGGCCGGCGCGAGCCGTTTTTAACGCGCAGGTGGCGTGCCGGGTTTTCTTATCCCAGGATTCCGAACGGCGGAGGACAAACCGAGGCAACTCGCCCGCCGTTTGGGTTGCAGCGGGACTCGCCGCCGCCTGTCCTTGCCTTTCCTTAGCTCCGCCCCCGCAGCCCGCCCCCACACGCCCCTTACCCTCGCGCCGCCGAACCAGAAGCAAGAGCGGGCGAGAACAGCGCTGCTGCCGCCGCCGCCGCCGCTGCTTTTGCTGCCGCCGCCGCCGCCGCCGCCGCCGTCGCAACGGGCCCGCGGTGGCGAAGTAACTACCCATGTTTCCTTCTGGAACCCCAGCAACCGCGACGACTTGGGGGAGAGGCGTCCCATCGCTCTTGGGTCGGCCGGCCTCGCTGCGGAGGCTTAAGGCGTGCCGTGTGGTGCTGCTGGCTGCTCGGGCTGTTCCGAGGGACGGAGAGCGCTTATCAAGAAACCGGAACCAGGAAAACTGCTGGGATTTAATAACACGGGCTGCGCTGCGGGCTGTTGTGTGCCCGGAGGGGAGGCAGGGAAAAGAGAAAACAAGAGGTCGCAGTGAGGCGGCAGAAAAGCTCACCAGGCGGCACTTCTTGGGGACACAGTTGCCTAACCTTCGACCTCCCCAAAGCTGGCCAGGAAAAGGCAAAGGAGGCTGATGATTGTTTGAAACTCGTCTTGGATACTGTGGATTTAATAAAAAAAAGCAACTTTCCCTTTTCATTCTGGAATTTATTTTCTTTTCTCGGTACTTTTAAAAACTATAACGGTACCCGCAGACAAGTAACGCGTGTAGTATTTTGTACGTATTTTTAATGTGTTTGTCCCATTTATGTGTATGGTGGGTAAGAGAAGATGTAATTTTTTCCCCCTTCCTCCCCTCTGCTACCAGATGCTGGGTGGGGGAGGGAGGTTGGTAATATGGCTGTTAAAACCTTTGTTACTCGACAGATGTATTTGTCCCTTGTGAACCATATGTGAAAAGAATTATTTGTGAGAAAGTGTAAGTTTTAACAGGGAAAAGTGAGCATTAAAACTCAGGGTGCTGATAACGTTTTTAAAGGTATAAAAAGAGCTAGAAGGAAAAAAATAATAATGTGCGTGACATTTAAAACTGTACATTTCCATAAGATGTGCTCAATTAACAGATTTGATCCAATTTCTTTCTGGATAAAGATTACCAGGTTTTTCTGCTTCTTCACCATCAAAAGTAAAACTCCCAGTATAGGTTACATATATTTTTCCTTAAGAAAGACTGTGTGAAGTCAGTGTTGACATATTTTATGTCTGGGCAAGAGAGACCAACAATATCACAGCATTACAAATATTTCTTTTCTTTTCTAAATTTAAGATCCCAGATGGCCAATTCCCTCAATGGCCGGAACCCAGGTGGCCGAGGAGGAAACCCCCGCAAAGGGCGTATTCTGGGATTCATTGATGCTATTCAGGATGCAGTTGGCCCCCCCAAGCAGGCAGCTGCTGATCGCAGGACTGTGGAAAAAACTTGGAAATTAATGGATAAAGTGGTGAGTCTGTAAATTATATTTTTAACAAAAATATATGTACACAGGAATTATTGATGGATTAGACAAAACAATGTGTGTTTTCAGGTTCATGATAGATAATTACATGCTTATTCAGCCTTTAGCTATGTTTATTCTCAGTATAAAAGAATATTAAATATACTTTAAATATACAGTTCTTCAAATATAAGATTGTTAATATGCAGTTTGTTTCATTTATACCACTTTGGCTTATGTTGTTGTACTGTTTCCTTGAAAATGAAACTTCAGTTCAGGCAATCATATTGAGATCTACTCTTATGTTAATTGTATGCATGCAATCAAATCTGCTGAAAAAGAAGTAGGTTTATTATTTTGACCAGATGAACAACAATTTAAACATTATCCTCAGTTGTAATGGCCCAATAAAATTATATTATGGAACCAAATCTTGGAAAATTATTCATCATTGGAGGGTAAAGTAAGGTACTAAAGTATCATTTGTCTTAAACTAGAATTACTTATTTTGTAGATTATTGTAGTAGGAGCATGTATTATGAAATACAGATAAAAGGAAACGAGAGTATTTTTTTCTGAACAAAAATGTGTATTGTTATGGAGATAGGATGTTCTTAAAATTATATATGCAGCATTTGTGATAAGCTTGGCATAATGGCCCATTTGCAATCCTTGCAAATTACATTTTATACATAGATTTGTGTAGGTGCTTTCATTGTAGTGTTCATAAAAGGTAATGTAAGTAGAAAATGCTAAATGCATAGAAGTATGTAATATTTTTACACATAGCATATAAAACATTAAGAGACCACCAGTCTGTTTGTCTAATAGTACATGTTTCCATGAAAAAGTTCATGGATTCTTTATGAGGAATAGACCAGATAATAAACAATTTAAAGCATTTGCATTGATCGTCAAGACACATAAGTTCCTTATAGGGTTTTATGCATATTATTCCCACTACTATTGTATGGCAAGGTAGTTACAGTTTTTTCCAGGAATTCTGATGTACTATCAACTTTGGGTGCATCGTGAAAGTTGTTTAAAGATAGTGAGCACTACCAAAATTGTGGCAATAACTCAGTTTAAAACATATGCCTGAAACAACCTATTTTCTTAGAATCAGTTCAGAATTTAAAATGTCAGTAAAAATGTATTATTGACTCAAACCTGTGGTAGACTTGTAAGTTTTTTATTTAGTTGCCAAGTCATTGTGAGTTCCAAATCTGCATTTTTTAAAATTACACTTTTACATTTAGTTCATAGTGGTTTCATACAATTTTAAAGGAACAAGCTTTTATTTAAGGTAAAAATGTGAAAACAATTACCTGCTGAAGTTATGGGTTATACTCTTCTTGGCTAAATAAACTTTTGTTGGATTCCAACATTAACCTGGAAGTTGATGATGACCTCAGTTACTCTTCCTACTCTATAATTCTGTGAAATACTATAACTTGAAATGTTGGAAAATTACAGGACATAAGTATGCAATTCTAGTTATGTTTGTTCTCACAGGGAGGGACTACTCAGGGTACCGTCAGTCAAATTATGCCGACTGGCGACTCCCAGGGGGGGGGGCCTTCTCTGTGAGGGCTCCAACTCTTTGGAAAGAACTGCCCCCGGAGATACGGAATATCCCTGATCTCCGTGCTTTCCGCCGTGCCCTCAAGACCCTGATGTTCCAACAGGCGGGGCTAAACATATGAACATGTGAATGATTTTTAAAATGTTATCTAATTCTGGGTTTTATTTAATTGACCAAACTAAGTAATAATTTTAATTAGCAATTTTATGATGTTTGTGTGTCTATATTTTTCTTGACTGTACACCGCCTTGAGTACTATGGGAGAAAGGTGGTATAGAAATATAATAAATAAATAAATAAATAAATAAATGTTACATTGAATGTAAGTTGACTATACCAGCTCAAAATGTTTTACAGTCTGACTTTGCCTATTAAAGCCTGAATCTTTCACATCATTTTCTGTTCTGATGTTTTTGACCAGAAATACCAAAAATAGAATGTGGGTCAGTTTGCATAACTACTTGACTGCTGATTATTGTTTTACTTCCCAAAGTAAAAATATTATAAACAGAATTGGCTATGATTTATTCTTACCCAGTGACCAATCCATATTTGATATTGCAACATTATCCCAGGACAAGTACATTTGCCTTCATTCATGAGATCTATGCTCTCAATGCACAATATAAGATAACTTTATTAGCGTTTTGGTTTTTATTTAAAACATTTATGCCTTGACTGTATACTTCAGATTTCAAGACATATTACAATAATTAAATATTACTGCTGCAAAATTTCTTCTAAAGAACTGGTTTAGAAGAGCTTGGTACTATAAATGAACTCAGTATTTTCAAATGGTTGAAGCAGCCATGACATTTTTTTAGGCTCATATGGTTGTCTCATGGGTGTTATATCACTATATTCACTATATCTATGTGCGAGTACATGCACATATCTGGAAATAGTAGAGCAGTTCCCAAAACAGCTGCATGACTCTTAACAGTTGGGACCATATTTTTAAATGGATTTGGGATTTGAAAATAATTTGAATTAACTTTCTTGGTTGTTTTAATTTTTAAAGAAGAGGTAGCCTGCAATCCCAAATTCATAGAATAGTTAGGTATTTTTTTCTGAGCTAGAAAAAAACTTCACACTTAGATGTATACCTTAACATCAATTCTTGATCTCCTTGCCACATTTTTTCTGTCAAAGTTAATTCAGTTGAGAAGGGTTTTTTTGGAGGATTTGCACGTTATTACATAGTAACAGTTTAAAATCTTAAAACACAAATTAGCAACTGGAATATTAAAACTTATAACTGATATTATTTTGATGTTAGTGTGGTATATGGAATCATGGGTTTAATATGAACACCTGTGATGTTTGTGAACTCGGTCAACAAAATCAAGTGGGATTTGTATTGGTTTGATGTCCAAAATGTTTCCTTCTCATGGTACTTGTATGTGAAAACAAACCCCAATGTTACTTAGTTTAAAGTTAAAAATTTTTTTGTATTTATCATTTTCCAACTGAAAATTAAGTGTTTTGTTTTTATGTTTTTCTAAAGTAATGGTCAGTGAAACATGTATTTAACATATCAGGTTTGTTCTTTAAAATTTATTTATTTTTTAATGTATTAAAATAATTATTTTTAAATTTCATGTTATAAATTCATCTTAATTTTCTTCATCCTCTGTATTAAATTTATATTCATGTAGTCCTTGACTTAACAGTTCATTTAGTGACAAGTTAAAACAGCACTGCTAAAAGTGACTTGGAACTATATTAAATTTACATTTGTTATTAAAGTGACGGCCTGCAAAGGCTTCTGGATTGGGGCTGAAAGGCGAAAGCAGAAGCAGTATGCTCCATCCTATATTTAGGTAGACCAGGTTGCCTTGATTAAAAAAACACTTGACTTGGAACTGTTTTTCACAATCGTTGCAGCATTCCAATGATCAAAATTCAGATGCTCGGCAACTGACTTACATTTATGCAGTGTCCCAGAGTCATGTTATCATCTTTTGCCACCTTCAAAATCAATGGGGGAAGACAGATTCATTTAACAACCATGTTGCTTAAGGAATTCACTTAACAAATGTGGCAAGAAAAGTTGTAAAATTAAGCAAAATTCACTTAACAAATGCCTCACTTAGCAACAAAACTTTGGGCTCAATTGTGGTCGTAAGTCGAGGACTACCTGTGCTAATCATAATATTTATCTAATTTGAGAGAAATTTCCAATGACATATGTCTTTAGGTTTAAACCTCTGCTGCATACAATCTGCTGAGATATTTTGGCACATCTTAAATTTTGTAGCACATGGTTTTAAGTTTCTTCTTGGATACTAGATGATCTGGGATAATAAGCTACTAAGGTATGTGCTGCAACATAAAACTTGAGAGTACAGGAAATTGCTTTGCAGACAGGCTGCATGTCTCCCCCCCCCCCACCCACAATACAAAATAGCAGAATATATATTGATTAAGTCTAGATTTAGAAAACTGTGCATTAAAATTTGTTTTAAGTTTGTTTTCAGATGATTTATATTTAATCAAACATCATTCTTGGGATCAAGCTTTGAGAAGCTTTTCAATTATATTTTAATATCACTGATACCAAAACTATATGAAAACACTTAATTTTCCTAGTCTATAGTCTATGTTTAGATAGATAAACATAGACTATGTTTCACCATCATTATAATTTTTTAAGAGACTTCATATAATGGGGAAAGGTCTAAGATATGGAAGTTCAAAAACAACTTCCAGTCTCCTGTTTGCCCCTTGCCCACTGCAATTCTGTGTGCTCTTCTGAATAACATATTGTTCTGGCGTTTGAATTTATTTCTCAAAATAGTGTTCCCCTCCATCTAATTTATAATATTTGTTTCAAACTTATGATAACTTATGTAGCAATCCTTCATTCTGATGTATATCATGATTGTCAGAAAGATCTTGTGAAAGCTGAATGGAAGAGAGAAGAGATGTATTCTTGTGATATAAAACTTCCATATTTGAAGCAAAATTTCCATTCATGTTAATATTTTTAAACAGAAACATCTGATATATAAGCATAAATAAAAGCTTTTTAAATCTCTTCTATAAATAGGCAATGTATAATTTTCTATATTGCTGTTTCTTAATAAATATTAATTCACAACAAAATGTAGCTACTGTTATCCAGCAGTTATTTCTATGATACCATTCTAGCTTACATCATTGGTATTTCTCTGATTGTCTCCTGTCCAAATTCAAATTAGTAGTTTTGATTTTCCTGATTTGTTGCTACATCTTATGATAGCAAATTCTGTTTCTTGACTATGACTGAGTTTATATTAAGAAGTAATGGTAGTTGGGAAATGGGGCTTTGTGTGATATGTAGTCATATATTATGGTCTGTAAACTGGTTATTGTGAAACAGGACACAACCTTGTTAAGTAACTAATGAATAAAACAATCTATAAACTAGTCTGGTACTCTATCTCCTATCTATCTATCTATCTATCTATCTATCTATCTATCTATCTATCTATCTATCTATCTATCTATCTATCTATCTATCTATCTATCTATCCTATCTGACTGACCCCATTTTATTCTGGCCAAATTTTTAGCACCTGAAAGTCATTAACTCTGCACAGGAGGAAGTGGTGTAATGGGTGTGAGGCCATTCTGATTTCCTGTGCTAAGGAAGCCTGCTTCATTTACTGTGTAAACATATTTTTTATTAGCATCTTTTGGTATTGAATAGAACGATAATAAAAAATTCTTAGCTGTGATAAAGTATATGTTGACTAAATTTTAATGTAGTATCTTTGCTACTAAGTGGCCAATTTGCTTTTTACTTGTACAGATCCATATAAATATCTAATCTATAGTTTTCATACTTTAAAAATTGTTTTGGGACTTTTTGATCTCATTCCTTATAAAATATGGAATCAATGAAACATCTTTTAAAGAAACTATTGCTCCTTATTATTTGATGGATGAAATGTTTCTGTCGGTTCATATTTTGCAGTAGTGCAGTCTTAATCTAGAATGAAGTTTGTCCTTATGAAGAACTGTTTAAGGACAGATTTACAAGGACCGCTTTCCATGGTGCAATTGCAGTTAGATATTCTTATAGAAGTATGCAGATAGTGATATGGTGTGTAGAATTTGTCTTTCTTTTCCTTGAAAAACCTAAAAAAGTTGTGTTTTCACGAAATAGAAATCTTGGCCTTTTAAAAATGGGGCAATGATACTTTTTCTCAGTTTATTATCTAAATGTGATCTATTGCTTAATTATATACTGTACTTATACCGAAATACATGCTCAGTCTTTAGACTGAAAAGTTCTTGAGCAGTTATAATAACTTCAGAAAATAATCAAGTGCACATATTTTAATGGGGGATTAAAATTCCAATGACAAATTCAATTATAAAAATTTTACGTTATTACATCTTGTTATTACAAAATGAGTGTGCTTTCAGGTCATCTTGTTCATAGAAACTATAAAATAATACAACTATATATTAGAAAATAATCTCAGAAACCCCAAATATGATCCTTGGACTGATTCCTTTCAGCTGAAATATTGTAATAGTTTATTTATTAAAACATTTAAAGAAACAGACAAAATAACTACACAATAGCTGAAATGTAGCACTAGCTGAGAAGGAAACTTGGTATGGATGATCTTCAATTTATGACCATAATTGGAACCAGAATTTCTATTACCAAGCAAGGGAGTTATTAAGTGATTTCATGACCTTTTACCATGGTTTTTAAGTGAATCACTGCAATTGTTAAGTGAATCACATACAGTAGTTGTTAAACAACTCTAGCTTCCCCCATTGACTTTGCTTGTTGGAAGCTGGCTGAGAAGATCTCAAACGGTGATTGTATGACCTGGGCATGCTACAATCCTCTAAATACATGTTGGTTACCAAGTACCCTAATTTTTTTTTCTCATGGGGATGCTGCATTGGTTGTAAATATGAGGACCAATTGTAAGTCGCTTTTTTCAGTGTTGTAACTTCAAATGATGGTTAAATAAATGATTTGTATATTATTTGCACACAACATATGTTTTGCTAACCATATGGCAAAATACAAAATACTGACCATACTTTTTTCTTTTAATTGGCCTTGGTCTTTGCAAGAACCTTTAATGATGTAGGTAGCTGTTCTATTTCTTCTGTTTAAGTATATTGGCCTGTGGGGTAAAGGAAGAGCCACTGTTCTTTCATGGAGTTTGCTGTCTCTTTAGTCAGATGGAATACTTGTTACACACAAGCAACATGTGTAAGGTTTTGACTTATCTGTGTGATGTCAGACACCTATTTCATTTCTATATATTTTTTTTAAAAATAGAATCTTTATTATGTATTTGTTTTGCTGAATTTGAAGGCCATCCAACCCTGACGACCTTGAGAAGCTTAACTAATGAGATAAAACAATATAAATATAATGGTATTTGGATACTACAGTATTTTCTTTATGAAAAATGTGAAATAACTTTACAAATAATATATAATGGAATTCCATTGGGTTATATTATATTATTATTATATTATAATACATATATTCCTGCAAGGAATATAAATCCTTCCATTCCCCACTATCCTGTCAGAGCTGAGGAAGCTTCTTGGATGAGAAGCAAAATGTCTTCAAAGGAAAAAAAAAACCAAGAAAGCCCAGTTGCCTCCTGAAAAACCACTTATGGGATAGGTCTCTGTATCTGAACAGTTGAGTTCTAGGTAATGTTATAATTTAGGTGTAAGCTTTCCACACTGTCTTACTCATGTACAATAAATTTTGAGATGGGTGAATTTAATTGTTAAATTTATGTAAATTATTCTTTAATTGTAGGTCAGACTGTGTCAGAATCCCAAACTTCAATTGAAAAATAGCCCACCTTACATACTTGACATTTTACCGGATACGTACCAACACTTGCGACTTATTTTGGGCAAGTATGATGACAACCAGAAACTTGCACAGCTCAGTGAAAATGAATATTTTAAAATCTATATTGATAGTCTCATGAAAAAGTCAAAACGAGCTATAAGACTTTTTAAGGAGGGAAAAGAAAGAATGTACGAAGAACAGTCACAGGACAGGTAAGAGAATTTACATATCTATCTGAACTGTATAATTCTTTTAGTGTATATTTACATTTTTTTTTTCTCTTTGGGAACATTCTATATGCTTTCTGAACAAAATTCATCAGACTTTTTGTTGCTATTCAGAGTGAAAATACCATACATAACATTTTAATGTATGTACAAGTTTGTATTGTTCAAATTTGATTTTGGTTTGATTTTGGATCTTTAGCACAAATAAAGATTAATTTGTTGGAAATATCAGTTTATAATAGAATTAGTTTCATTTGTTTGTAAAATAGTTTCGCATATTCTGTTAGACCAGTTGCAGTTTAGTTGTATGTTTGGAAGGCTTCTAAATGTCAGTGCTGATGCTTGTTTCTCTGTGAGCTAATAGTATTAGGTGAAGTTTTTGAAGTCTGTTATGGAACTACTTGTATTTCTATATATATGAAATAATTATGAATAAATAAATATGAAATAATTATTATACTCTAAAATATATACTCTTCAGTTAATATTCCATTAACTCTCCATGTTAATCATTAGTGACTAAGAATGCAAGCTATATTTTAATAACTGTAATGTCTTAATATCTTTAAGAGCAATTTTAAATGTCATCTTTTTTTGTCTGCTAGAGATATTTCATAATTTAAAATGAGTACCAAACATGTTTTTATTTAAAATTAAGAATTTTTGTTATACAAGAACAAAGGTACCCACCTATTTGATGTATTAACGTCATTTATAGAAAGCATTTTTTTTCATACTAAACATTCCTATTTTGGATAAAGTTAATAGCTAAGTAGATAATTAGAAGTGTTGCTTTGAGAAAGAAATGCTGAAAAATGAGGAAAACCTTTTGACTTTGAGACAGGAAAGTGGGTGGCAAGCATGAAGAAGTGGAAGAACGCAGTGGAAGAACTTAGTACTTCTATCCTTTCATTGCATGAAAGGTTTTCTTGATTTCTGACTTTAAAGTGGTCTAATCCATCATTTCATATTTGAAAGAGCTTAGGTTTCCCCCCCCTATAATAAGTAGACTAAAACATCAAATGGATATACACAGAAACAGTTTTATATTTAAAGGTTAAGTCACTTGTTACTAATTGGCTACACTTCAGGTAGCAAGCTAAGTAAATTGAAGTTATTCTGCTTTGCATTTGTTTTAGTGTTTTGCATCATTTATAAAGCTACTGTAGTTAAATTTTGCCTATGTATAAGTGTTGTGGCATGAGAATGGCAATTCAAAGCACAGGTGAAAATGTATTAATGCCTGAGATGCTACACTGAGCTCCATACAGAGCATTGAATCTTATTGAATAACTGGACAAACTGATTCATTTCAGTTTATCATTTCAGAGACATTTCCATACCAGTTTCCTCGCTGCCTTCAACAATGGCAAAACTTCTAATGTACATGAAAAATTCTTACAAATTCAGGGAGAATCTCCCTTGAAAATAGCTCATGTTGAACTATATAACACACTCAAAAATCAGGTATTGACCACAGGGGAGTTTTTATGACATTTTATATTGTCATAAATTTTTTATGAAAGTTTTTATATCATAAAATGTTTTATAAAATTTGCCAAATTTCAGTTCCATGGGAATCATGTATTCCAGATTTTGGAATACATTTTGAAGTAACTGATATAGATTTAGAAACATGGCATCTGAATACCTTTTTCAGGGTCTTCATGGCCTACTCTACCGACGGCTAGTTTGTGGTATATTTTATGACCTCTTGTTCCTTTACTAGATGATAGATCCTAACAGAAGCCATCAACCATTTGTATATCTTCATTAGCAATTTTAAATTGGCATAAGTTAGACTGATACTTAAAATTGCTTTCCAAATGGGTACAGAAGTAGTCTGGTGGTGTTACAAAGGCACTGCAAATCAATAAGAAAGTATTTATATATTGGAGAGAAGTTTAGATTTTCTTTTTTTTAAGTGCCCAAGGCAAGATCAGGTGGAGATATATTAACAGAAACGTGCTGATAATGTTATTGCCATCAATAGAAGGAGGATTATTTTTCTCTTCTTACACACGAATAAAGAATTTCTTTCAAATATCATTTAAAGGAATTTTATCCCAATAAAACTGATATAGTAATTTATTGGATAACACAATCTGATGTTGGAAATGCTTGGATTAATAATACATCAACCCAACTACATTCTGAATATGTTTTTAGTAACTTAAATATTTTAAGTTACTAACCAAATTGAAAGTCCATAAAATAGAGTATTTCAGATTCTGTTTATTTCTCTTTAATATAGAAATATTAATAAAATCAAGAAATCATCTCAGTATTGTAATCATCTATGCTAACAGTTTTCCTGAAACTGATAAATATATGGTTTGTTGAAATGTAATGGGACATTATCATTAGAAACATGAACAAGGAAAAATCTTTGTTAAGACTAAAGCCATTCTACTTTATATGTCAATAAACTATGGCTGGCTTGTTATCTGAGCTTTAGACTTCCTTTTCTGTCACAGATCATTTCTCTGTTAAGGCTAAACGAGCTGTAAATATTTTGCAGAACTTATCGTTTGCCAGTAGGTATATATACCCAATCACTTAAGACCAAAATAATTGGTGCCTAAGCATTGTCAGACTTGGAGCAAATGAAACTAACCTCATTGAATAACTTACTAACAACATGTTGCTTTAATTTTAAATATGAAAGGGTGGCTATTTATGTCAGATGAAAGTAGATGAAATAAACAAATATGTATGGCAATCACTTTGAAGTGGCACATTGTTCGTCTAGTTCTGAAAGATTTTATATGGTAGTGTTTTTTTCAGTGTCTCTGTGTTTGTATGTGCACAAGAGAATTAATGATAATTGCTTAAGAATCTTTATGTTGATTCTGTTGTTAAAACATCTTAATTTTCAAGTTTTTCACAATAGGATTTGTACAATAATGTTTTTACAGTTTTTCTTTCTTCTGGAAACATCAAAATATATGTTAGTTCAACTACATAATAAAATTGAAAGAATTAGATGATCATTCTTTAATTAAAAATCATGAAAACCTTGGTTGGTAACAAAAGTATATTGGATGATTATTTAGTTTATACCTGTAGTTAAGATGAAAAATATGGGATGTGATTTTAGAAAAATGTTATACAACTGTGCCATTGAAAAATTGAATAAGTATACTCATTGACATTTTACTTATAACATATTTCAACATACAGATATTTGATCTTTATTTTAATAATATTAACAGATAAAGGGGATATAATATTATAAATATGTACTTTTACATTTGGTATTCCATTACATAATTTAAATACACATAAAACACAGATTTTGCATGTGGAAAAAGTAAATACACCCTTACATTTATCACTACTCAAAATACATAAAATCAGAATCAGATGCAAAAGACTGGATACTAACGATAAAACATCATTAGAGAAGATCTAGAAAGGACCAGTCTTATCTAAACATGAGATGTTTAGTTTGATTTATTCTTTGTTGTTGTGTGTGGTATCACCATTCCTAGATTAAAAGACCTCTCTGAACCCTTCTGAAAGAAAGTTAAAGATGCCTATGAGCCTTAGAAGGGATTTTAAAAGATTGCCAAACAACTGGATATCAGTCATTCCACTATCTGAAAGATCAAGTACAAGTGGAAAAGATTTAAAGTAAGTTTAGCTTGTCTCAGCAAGTTCACCCTAAGAATAGAATTCTGGATGTTGAAAAAAGTCTCTAAAAATCCCAGACTTTTCTTATTTGACATAGAAATAACTGTCATCATTATTAACATAAAAAATTATGAGTCTACTATTGGAAAGAACAAATTAGATTCAGGCAAATACCACAATACTACTTTTAATATTATACCAGATAATTACTGGAATAATATTGCTACCACAATATTATTACAGAATACTACCTTTTGGAATAATGTGCTTTGGTTATACAAGGCAAAATCATATTATTTGACCACCTTACTAGAAGACATATTTAATGAAAACCAATGATATCATTTTGCCAAAAGAACTTCTTACCAACTGTAAAGCATGATGGTGGAAATGGTATGCTTTGAAGCTACTTTGCTGTATCGGTGCCTGGATGGCACACCATCCTTGAATCCACCATAGAATTTGTCATTGTACCCAAGAGTGGTTGCGGATAACATGATTACATCTGTCAAAATCAATCAAAAGTTGAGTCATTCTTGCCATATGATCATATCACTAAACAGTCCAGGAAATGAAGGTTTTTGAAATGGTCAAATTAAAGCCCAGGTTTAAATCACATTGAGATGCTGTGGGTGTTTTGAAATGGGCTGTGCATGTAAGGAACTTCTCAAACATTACACAGCTGAAAAAAAAACACATAGTGAAATGGGGAAAAGTTCCTCTCGGTTAATGTCAGAGATTGGAAAACTGTTATAAGAAAACCTATTTAAAGTTTTCTGCTAAAGGAGACAATGCCTGGAATTATTTCATACAAGTATTTGTATTATTTTAATCATTAATAATCATGCAGAGGTCAAATGAATTGAAAACCATGAACTTAAATCATCTAGGTGAAGGACGGAGGGGGGAAGAGCGTATCCTGCAGGCAAAACTTGCAAAATTTCAGAAGGGCGGATAGGCTGAATGGGATGGTGTAATCCATATTGTGATTGGGTGTTATTCGGGATTTTAAAATGTTGATTACCATCTCAAATTGCATTCAGTTCTTTTAAAATTGGTACAATGAGCCTAAATTCTTGGACTATTCGTTTACTTTAAGGACAGTCACACGCAGAAAACATTGTAACAATTCATAAGAATAACTAATATTTTACCTAGTCTTTTATATTTGCATAATTTCCTTCTCTGTACCAAATTGTTTATTCAGTATGTATTCTTCCAAGTGATGGATAATGTGTGCCGGACAAAAATCCAAGTGGTTTCTCTAGCACATTTTTTCTCACTAGGTAGGTTATCAAAATAGCAGAGAGACAGAGATAAATTTTAAGAGATGGGATCTTCCTTAAGAC